ATTGGGGGGGGGGGACGTCGTTCATTATTAGGGGGAGCCTGTGTTGACGTCTAGTCTACTTGAGGTACCCTATAGCATAACCATGATATTCTTAAAAAAAAAAAACCGTCAATGCCCCTTGTATAAACCCAACTGTCATTTTTTCATACTTATTTGATTGTCCGCCATTCTATCATAGTCTATCTATTTCAGCTCCTTAACTCTAAACCCTAAATCTTACATCCTATTCTACTTATTTAGACCCGAGTATTGCTCACTGCTAGGGGTTGTTGCCGGGAAGCCAGCCGCACAGCCCAGAGACGTGCCATTTGCGGACGTGTTGCAGCGCGTCTCGGCAGGCTCTAGGCACCTGAGGCAGGGCTTGGAGGGTTTAGGGTTTAGGCTTGGACTCTCGTTTGTAGTTTCAGGTTCAGTTTAGGGTTTATTGCGTATAACCCAATTTTGACTGATAACTTATAACGCTACCTATATCTCAATTCTACCAGGTTCTAGCCATAGAAAGCTATTTCGACGGGTTATAGCTGGGTTATTGCCCCCTCAACCTCCATGTAGGGGCTTCCTGCAGGCAATTTAAGCTCAAAAAAAGAACAAATTGCAAGTCGAAGGCCTGGAGGCCTTTGGAGCTCCCTCTTCCAGGCGGGCGTACCCGACCTATCACAAGGCTGTCTCACACAGCCTCTCCAACCCACTCCCTACAACACGTGGTACTTGTTCACAACATGGCCACAAGAGGCATTGCCTTTTTCTTGGCATCTCCTTTTACGAAAGTGTACTTCCAAGCGGGCATTAGACCCACATGTGCGGCCTGAGGCGGTGCCGAGCTCGCGTCCAAGCCCTGCTTTTGACAGTCCTGCTGTTGACAGTCCTGCTGGAAAGCGCAAGGCAAATTGCTCGACATCTGGTGTTCCAGAGAACCCAATACCCCTCTAGCAATATGCCCCAACTCAACTAGGGATTCTAATATTAAGTAAATTAGGGCGTAGAGCAGGTTCTTCAATCAAGGGTATTGGATCTCTGGCGTAGGCTCTTGGCCTCACATCTCTGTAGGATTTGGAGATGCTCTCTGTTCTGAGAGTGAGTACAAAATGCTTTTACATCAAAGCCCAGAGTTTGCTTAAACTTCGAGTCACCCCAAAGCCTCCAAAGCTTGCTGTTAAGGAGCCTAGAATAAGCTACCGTCACAAGGAAACCCTTTTACTTATCAGTCAAGTTCCTTAACAGCAGCGCAGAATACCTACTCATGCTTGAAGTGGAGGAGTGACTCACTGCGGGAAATCACTGTTAACTCCCCTTGGCCACCTATGCGGGCACTCCTTTTTTAAAGCTCTCAGACCCTGAAGGCTCGGGGGTCCAAGTGTAGCTTGCCGCAATCTTCGCATCCGCCCCTAGGCAGGGGCTGGACTTGAGGCAAACTCGTGACATGATGTGGGCATTTCTCAAAGGTCGTGCCTCCTCATACTCCATAACTCTCCCCAAACAAAAAAATCAGAAATTGGCATCTGTAACGCACATCCCTCCATTGCGGCTAGAGCGTCTGGTAGAGTGCCTTCAACACATCGCATTGACAACTGTAGTTTCCCGACTTGCCTTTCTGAATCCTGCGGCATGGTCGAGGGGTTGAGGGTCTAGGATTCAGGGGTTGAGGGTTGCAGGCTTCTATCCAAGTTTCTCTTGCTGAATTTGTAGATTCTATGATTTTGTGCTTGGTCCTGCCCACTTCTCAAATGCAGCTGTTCACAGAGGTCGTCCCTGCTTCCGCTGTGGTGCTGTTGCCAGGGCAAGGCTTGCAGCTGCCGTCAAAGTCCTGGCCACACCACAACACTTTCAGAAAAGCATTTCTGCGACCTTTTTTATAATCTATCATTATCTATCATTTGGGGCGAGGTCGGGCGAGGTTGCTACAATTTGCCCCGCGTCCTGGTTGTAGCGGCCTCGCTCGCACTTGCGGCACTGCGTGCCGCTTCCTTGAAACCCTTCATTGCAGGCACAGAGGCCCTGTGGCCAAAACAATGGTGGGGACACCCTCAGCGACGTGGACGTGATGTCGCGGCAGGAGAAGCCTTTCAAACGATTATTTTGGGTGAGCTGCTCGGTTGGTTTAAGAGCCCCGTCTGTGAAGAGCTCTGCGACCGCCTTGCTGTTTGTTACGCGTGTGGCCGTGAGGTCGACTTGCAAATTGAGTTTCACGGCTCTCTGCAGAGCTTCCTTGTCCACGGATAGGCTAGAACCATTGGCAAGAGATACGTACACTTTGGCAGTGAAGCCGGCAATGTGATGGATGTTATTGCTCTCTAGCTCCACAGCCTGCAAGGATGTCTCCAAAGGGATCGGAGCGTAGGACAAGTACTTAGTACCGTCTACAGAAATGGATCGAAGCCAGTCGTTGTCCAACAGTTCTCCAGACAGGTTGGCCGCATTTGCTCTGAGCTGGGCCAAACGCCCTGAAAACATCAGTGGTTCTAACAGGTGCTGCACTTCGCCATCAAGTGGGCAGTGCGAAACCTTGGCTGGGGTGCTAGCTTGGGGCAGTGTTTTTTTTGTGGCCTAGCAGCATTGAATTGCAAAACTGCAAAACGAATTGCGACAAAGCGGCATCTAAGTGCACGAGAGCTGGAAGAACTTGCCCTGTCTCGCTAGTGGAGAAATTCTTGCCAAGATCGTCCAGGTCACGTCCGACTGGAAGGAAGTTCACCCGGCTTCCCTCAGCGCGGGGTCAACAAAGTGCGGTAAAAGACGCTTGGGCAAGCTCTGAGGGCTGGGCTGTGAGCTCCAGCGTGCGCAGCTCCAAGAGCCGACCTCTCCATGAGGCAGTCAAGCGCCCGTGGATACGGGTATGGCTCAGGTCGGCCTGACAAGGAAGCGGCAGGGAGGCTGTGCACTTCTGGAGGGTGCTTGCGAAACTATCAAAATCAGATGACACAAATTCCAAAAAGGAAAACGGCAGACGGGAGCCTGTCTGAGGTCTGTCAACATGGTCAACTTGCTCAAATCGCCTTCCACGCGGCTGCGCCGAAGGTACAGCAGCTGTAGCTTTGTTAAGGCAGACAGTGATTCGATACTGCCATCCACCTGCGTCCAGTCCAGCTGCAATCTCTCTAGCTGCTGCATCTGCCGCAATGCCTCCAGTCCGCCAGTGACTCTCGTGTCGAACAGATACAGCTCTCGCATTCTTTTGAGATCCGATAAGGGCTCCAGGCTACCGCTTACCAGAGTGTTGTCCAGCACCAACTCTTCTAACTGCTTCATGTGCCCCAAGGGCCCCAAACCCCCAGTGATCTTCGTGTCTTTCAACTTTAAGAGCTGCAGACTTCTCAGACCAGCTAGGGGCTCGAGGCTACCCCCCACTGCAATTCCTCCAGTTTGAGCATTTGTCGCAATGGTGCCAGACCACCGGAGACTTTCGTGAGGGACAGATCCAAGTCCCGCAGTTTTGTGAGATTCGTGAAGGGCTCCAGGTCACCGCCCACCTGCGTCCGTCCAAGCAACAATATCTGCAGTTGTTCCATCTGCCGTAGCGGCTCCAGTCCACCGGTGACTGTCGTGTTGAACAGATACAGCTCCCTCATGTTTGTGAGATTCGTGAAGGCCTCCAGGTTACCGCTCACCAGGGTTCTTTGCAAGTGCAATTCCCGTAGCTGTTTCATGTGTCTCAAGGGCTGCAACCCCCCGGTAATCTTCGTGTTTCTCAGGTGTAGGAGCCGCAAACTTGTAAGACCAGCTAGGGGCTCCAGGCTACCGCCCACCAGCGTCCGTCGCAGCCCCAACTTCTGCAACTGTTCCATCTGACGCAGCGGCTCCAGTCCGCCGGATACTTTTGTGTCAGACAAATGCAGCACCTGCAGGTTTGTCAGATTCGTGAAGGCCTCCAGGTTATCGCCCACCAGCGTTCTTTGCAACCACAACTGCCGGAGTTGCTTCATGTATCTCAAAGGCTGCAAGCCCCCAGCGATCTTCGTGCCTCTCAAGTATAAGAGCTGCAACCTTGTAAGGCCAGCTAGGGGCTCCAGGCTACCCTCCACCTGCGTCCCTTCCAGTCCTAATTTCTGCAACTGCTCCATCTGCCGCAACGGCTCCAGTCTGCCGGTCACTTTGGTCTCGGACAAATACAGGACCTGCAAGCTTGTGAGATTCGCGAGGGCATCCAAGCTACCGCCCACCAACGTGTTGTGCAACCACAACTGCCGCAGTTGCCTCAACTGCCGCAAGGGCTGCAATCCCCCGCTGATCTTCGTGCCTTTCAGATATAAGAGCTGCAACCCTGTAAGGCCAGCTAGGGGCTCCAGGCTACCTTCCACCTGCGTTCCTTCCAGCCCCAATTTCTGCAGATGCTCCATCTGCCGCAGCGGCTCCAGTCCGCCGGTCACCTTGGTCTCGGACAAATACAGCACCTGCAGGCTCGTGAGATCTGAGAGAGGATCAAGCCTTCCGTTAACGTTTCGCTTTATCAAGTCCAATACTTGGATGCAGCCGTCGTTGCCAAAACCCATTCCTTTCCATGTGGATGGGTATCCTGTGAGCTCCGCAGCTGGAATACCCATTTTCGTGAAGATGGTGCGGAGTGCATCTGCAGAGGGACCTTGTGTCACAGGCAAACGCACAAGCACTGATTTCCAAAAAATGTTCCCAGAATGACGTATTGAATTCAGAAGCACACTTGTAATGTTTCCAGTGTGTGCTTCTAGAAAGATTGCGATCTTCTTACTAAACCAAACACAATGGCCAAAAAAAGGAAGTGATCTTACATTATACAAGGGATTTGATCAGGGTCGGATATGGCTGTATAATGAATAATAGGATTTCCTTTGTATGGTAACTCAATTGAAGCTGCTTAACAGCAACACAGTCTGTGTAGTGCGATGTGCGAACAACATGCCAAGCACCGACATCCTCGAGGCAGAGGCGCATTCGGCCCAGGTGCTTTGGCATGCAAAGACTTTCTGTCTTGAACATGGCGGCCGACGAGTCTCCAACGTCAACGTACGAATACAATCAAAATATACAGATATTCAACTTGTACTTTTATTATGTCTGACCTTTAGCCAAGCTTCAATGGGCTTCACGTGCGGAAGCGCTTTGACCGTCTTTCTGGGCGTCCTCCTGCAGGCTTTCAGGGACATAGGGGATTTCCAAACACAAGGCTTCCTCAAAACTAGCTGTCCCTTTGAGTGTTCGTCGGTGGCTACATAAGGATATCTAGGAACATAGAGGGATGTGTATGTTCTAGGGCTTTCAAAAAGTAGGGGTCCGTTTTTGGGGGTTGCCCAAAAGCAGGAGTAATTTTGGGGTATTCAAGGTGCGCACCTCATCTACGGAAACTCCCACATGATGCTGAAGCTTTGGCATCACAGTCCAAGTTCCAAACATATCAAGTCTTCATGTTATGCATCTGGTTGGTGATGGCACTTTACAGTCTGGGCTTCGTGGAATAGCGCACTGCTCAGAAGATCAGAGGGACTTGGATTCTATGAATGAAGCCAACAGATCTTAAGCCTCGAGCCGAAACTCCGATCTGACGGCTCATGAGGTACGCGAGCACTTGGAAGTTCAGGGTGATGAGAACGATATTATGATTTTGGAGTTATGTCGCAAGTACAACCATGTTAGGGTACTTAATGATTAATTAGGGGGCTACAACAACTAAACGTAGGTTATACTTACCCTGAACCTCCAAGTAGCTCCACGGCCTGATGCCTGCCTCTTCCAGTGTCAGCGCGCCGTCTGCGCGGACTTGTTTGCTGTAGACAGCCTCGAGGCTCAGCGTTCTTTTGCAAGGTTCTAAAGGGTGTACCTGGACAAAGAAATATTTTGAATAGTCATACTAGTAATTGGCCAGTACTTCACCCACAAGTGAATTGAGGTCCAGGTTGTTCCCAATACCCGCAATCCTCCCCCATACTTCGTTAGGCTCAATACTGTTCCCAGGCCAGAACCTACCCCAATTGGACCCCCCTTGCAAGGACATTGGTCGATCCTACGATGCTTGAACAGGAGCTGCAAGCTGAAGCCGAGGCCTTCTGATGCCCGAACAATGCCGAAGTGAAGCGAGCTTCATCAACTGGCTTGAAGAACTGCTCCGGCCGTTGAACCCCTGAAAGTCTGCACCTCCGAATTTCCTACACCACATGCGCGGTCTCAATTGGCGCCTCTCCGTGGCTGTACTGCAAGCGCGGGCGAGCTGCCGGCAGCACGGCAACAAGTGCCGCAACGCACAAAGGAACAAGGATCTGCATGGCCACCCCAAGCCCCAAAGGCCCACAAGGGCCCTGCTGTCGCAACAATCCCAACTGCCTGCAACTTCAGCCACAAGTTGAGGGGGATGATGCACAGTGCTGGTCTGTGTTAGGCCATCCCTGACATGTGAGCCCCAAAGGCCCAGGACATCCATGCTCTGCCTTGATTCCGACAGAACACAACGCCCCACATCCTCAAGCCCTAGGAAGTCACAAGCAACAATCAAACTGGAAACTCCCGCTTTGGGAAGATCCTTGAGGTTCCAGCACACCAGCAAAGCATCTGACATACACATGAGGTCAAGGATTGGAAGTGAAGCCTCTGAGCAGGCAGCGGAACACCAAGCCCTACAGTGGGCAGAGTTCCGTGTCGACTCCTAATTGTGAAGCGTGGTCTTTTCATGACAGCTCTGCTCGTTGCCATTCTCTTGCTACTGTGCATATTATTGCCACTACCCAGGTGCCTGAAATTTTCAAAGTAGACCCCTATTGCATAAACTCAGAATAATCCCAACCTCTTTCTGGGGATCTAATGTTTAGGTGCCCTTTGGGGAAGTTCTGCTGTGTGTCTTTGTTCTTCTTGCCACCAAGGTACCTTGCCACAGGTTGGCGCTGCCAAGTGTCCTCAGGGAACGAGCAATCATGCTCTCGCATGGACGGGTAACCCTAAACCCTAATCCCTGAAGCCCATCATCATAGCAATTCAGACAGCACATCTTTAGCTGAATGCTCGCAGCTGCTCCGGGTGATGTTCTCATGGCGCCCCCAGAACCATTTGTGAATGGGTTCCCGTATAAAACACTGAGAGACATGGATAACGAGTAAGCTCATGTATCAGGTTCGAGGTGGCAAGCCCTTCAAGGCTTGGGATGGCGATAAAGCGGGCTATTGCCTGAGACATGGGAGGGTTTAGGGCTTAGGGTTTAGGTACGGTGAGCATCCACTCCATGTCCCAAAATCGCATGAGGCAGACCTAGTGAGCTTGAACCTAAACACTGGGATGAGGCTGTGAGGTTCTGTCGTGGAACTCTGAGTGAGGAGTGTAGACTGGATAGGATCAAGCCTGCATCTGCAGCTGGAAGCCTTCACAAGCCAGACCACTTGGATCACTAGTCCGGACTCAGGTTTACGGTTTATGGCAAGATCCAAAAGCTCATAACGCGGAAAACAATGTGGCGAGCCTACCCCCAAACACCTAAATCAATTAGGAAATCCTTGTAACCCAATCGCTGCAACAAGTAAAACAGAGATCCTGGGAGAGAATCCTTTTTTAATCCCTGTACAATCCTACCCATGCTCCCAGTGAAGTAACCTGAAATCCCCAAACCCAAGCCTGAAAGATCCCCATGTGGCGGGTGGCCTGTTCAATGTGAGACGCCTTGAGCTTTGCCCATGCGTTGAAGTGCAGTGACTGGAAGTAGTCATGTGCCTCTCAAGGCTGGGTTGCTATTAAGGAGTCAGGGTTTAGGGCTTCGAGTCAGGAACTTAAGCTACTGTTGATGGACAAAACTTTGCACCACCAGGGGTCCCTAAAGCATTGTAGTCAAGGTGGTGCGGCCTTCCTCCATCAACAGTAGGTTTCCCTACTATTCACTATAGATCCGTGCGATGGTAAACGAACCTAAGTCTTGCAACAGCAAGTCAGAAGAGCACTGGTGGGATTGCCATGTCGCACTTCCCTGGAAACACAATAGACCTTGGCTAAGAAATATCGCCTGAACCAGAAAGCTACAAATGCTAACAGTAGATACGTAATCTGTACGCACAAAATCCTCTTGTGAGCCCCAGGTACCAAGCCCGAAGCGGCCCTGAAGTTAGGATCTTGCCAAAGTTTAAGTAATTGGAGTGTGCTTCGGCGGTACCTTGTGCTGTAGGTACATAAGGGGTACGTACAAGGGAACAACATTGACAGTTTTCCTATAACTCCCTATCAAAGCCATCACATTATCCATCCGATTCTCCGCTCGCGTTCTGCAACGGTTTGCGGGAGTGGTGTTGGCAACTCCTGGATGCGGTCCAGGAGTTTAAACTTAGTTATGCATCCATGGCTAGACTCTATAAAAGGCCTTGCCACGGAAAATGATTCTGGCAACTTACTTCAAGTACGTTAACAGCAACCCACCCCAAACCCTAAACCCTAGTTTATTGTAAGTGCCTTTAGAACAACCCAGATCAGGCCTACATCCCTGGAAGCTGGCCTTGGTCTTGAGAGTATTCCGAATGGGTGCAGACCTCATTCAATGGGTCAGCTCGAAGTACTGGCACCACGGTCTATGGTTTAGGATTCGGGGCTTAAGGTTTAGCACCTGCACCAGGAATATTTTTAGTAATAGTAACAGTATGAGCAGTAGTGGCGGGGCCTGCACTTGTAAGCGTAAATGTCAAAGCAAGCTCAGAAGGTCTAGTAGCAAAGCAAGAACTGGAATGCCAGCGCTTAAATTGGGCGGGCTTCTTACACTAAGAGGTCACATGTGCGGGTTGAATGTAGAGATCCGAGGATATTGGGCTCAGGAACAAAGTCAAGTAAATTGAGGGTTTGTGCTGGAAGGTACAAGTGCTCGGGTAGAAGGTAGAATGTGTCAAGGGCTCAAGAACAAGCCATGAACTCAGGTGTTTGTACCCCTGATGCAGCTTCAAGGCACTGGGATCCCTAAACCTGGTACCTTCAATTCAGCATACCTAGCACGGGCTCTTCTGCATTGCAAACACAACGCTCTCAAGACTCACAAAAGTTCTTCTTGCCTTGTCTTACTAGAACCTCTCTTCAAAGCCCTGACCACTCTCCAACCCAAACAACTCCACGCACATGTCTGGCTCAACAGACTATGAGAGGGCCGTACCACTGTCGACGAGTTTCACTGCCAACGGAGCCTGAAGTCTAGGAAGGTGATTTTGGGAAGTCTGGAGATAAGTCATATAAGAATAAAATCATATGGATAGCAGTAGTGATGCAACTAACACTAGTCAAATACTGGTACAACTGTATTTGTTATGTGCTACTTGAGAAGTCGGGTTTCAGGGTTGAAGCAGTGTCAGAGCTTGACCTTTGAGGACTTGCCTTTCAGAGGGCTTTGGATTTCCAATTCTGTGTTGCTGCTTTTGGGACTAGCAGGGACTCGCATGCCCTAACCCCTACAACAGCGCATCCTATTTTCGGGCCAATGTTTTTCAGGATTGCCCATAGGAGAGGTTTCGTCTGTTTTCATGAAACTGCGCTTGTTGAACGTTAGCAAGGTGGACTTGGCGCAAGTATGAAACCCCAAACCATAGTTTCTGTATAGCTCTATTTGACCCCTGTACAATACAAA